GCACAGCTTCCATAGAACAGGAGAGAATCACATCAGTAAATAGGAAGAGTGTTTGCTGTGATGTTATGGGGAAAAAGAAATTGCCCAAGCTGTAGCCAGCTGCAGATGACTCAAGAGTTCATAACATCCTCTATAAAAGGATGCGCATCTCAGCATCCGTGAAGTCACTTCTGTTGAATAAAACTCAACACCTATTTGGGGATTGACAGTAAAGACTGGATTGGAAAAATCGTATACCAAATGATTTATGTCTCTTATTCCTGCCTGGCACACAGGAATTACTGTCCTGACTGACATACCGTAAGTCACGAAGTCACAGAAGAGAATTTCAATGGAAAAGCAGGAACGTGGGTGGATAAAAAATGCGATGCTTGATGGGAATGAATTTTGGTTCACTCTCGCAGGCAGACACTCTAAATCTTTCATCGCTGGTGGCAGCGGGAAATGAGAGGTTGTAGAGAAAAGCACAGGGGTTGATCTCACACGTTCACTCGCTCCTCCGACGTGTTTATGGAGCACTTATTTATGGACACCGTGTTCCCTACCCATCTCTGTCTGAGACCATCCTCTGGCTGTGCTCGGCCAGTGAGGCATGGGCCTTGGTGCATTAACGCCCCGGTTTCCTAACCCCCAGGGGCACAATACTGAGATGTGTTCTCCACTTGCAGATGGTCCCTGGTGGGATTGCACTCCAGGCTCCTAAGTGGTGACCTGCATGACCTCGGAAAGGCTCCCTAACCTCTCTGAGTTTCAGCTTCTCGTGGGATGGTTGTGCAGATCAGATGAGACAATATCACCACAACCATCACTAGTTACCATTTATTCATTGAGTAGTGGGAACCAAGCATTTTGCTCAGAGCTTTAATTACATCACCTTACTAATCCTCACAGTGACTTTATGGGGTAAGTACTTTAATTATCCCAGTTTTAAAGATGAGGGAAAAAAGATAAATAATTCGCCAGAGCCATAATCTGAGTTCTAAACCAGGTGCATTTGTTCTGAAGGCCAACTTCTAATAAGAAGCCAAACGGTTAGAGTACAGGATCTAGGAAAGCTGCTGTCACTATTCTTAGTAAGTGCCCAGCATATTGCAACTGTTCCATATTTGTTGAATTAAAAAAAAAAAAAAATGAATGGATGACTGTGTGTTCCTCAAGATCGTGAACCATCTTTTGGTTCTTGGTTCTGTCTTCAGGCATCTCGAACAGTCCCTGCCACGTGATAGGTACAAAACAAACATTTCTTGAATGAATGGTTGAATGACTGGATGTGCAATAGAATTTTTTTAGTTCCTGGTAGTTCCCTGGTTTTAAGGAAATCATGTTAATCGAAATGCATTATTTGTTTCACTCTTACAAAAACCGGCCACAGAAAGGAAATAGCCTTAAAATCCTATTTATGTCCAGGTATTGGGATAATAAAAGATTTTAGTTTTCATGCCTTAATATTTTTTCATGATGGACTCGGATTCCTTTCATAACTGGAAAGAAGTTGTCTATTTCTGAAGAAGAATCCGTTTCAAAGCATAAATGGGTCCCGAAGCAGCGTGGGTGAGGTACCGACGTACACGTAGATGCTAACCTAATTTGAGTGGGTTCACAGTGGAGGGAGCAGGATGTGAACTGACTTTGCTGTCACGCCTCACACAGCTTTCACACACCATCTCTGGAGGTTCACGCCAGTCTCGTGACGTAGGCCAGGCTAAGATTAGCAGCCTCATTTCACAGACCAAGGGACCTGGGAACCAAAGAAGCTCACCAAGCAGGTCGAGGCTCTGCTTAGGGGCAGAGCTGGGTCGAACTCAGGATGTTTGACTTTAAGCCCAGTGGCCTTTCCACTCTAGCCTGGAAGCCTCTGGTGAAGACCCATGAAAGGAAGTGGAACAAGGGTGGAGGTGGGTTGGTGGTCCAGGGACTCACGTGACAGCTGTCTCTGAGCATCTGCAAGACCCTTTTATAGAGGGAAAGCCTGGCTTGGAGTTTCTCAATCATCCGACCCGGGTTGGAGTCCCAGTTCTGCTACACGCTCTCTCGGACACGTTACAACAGTTCTCTGAGACTTGATTTTTTTCATCTGTAAAACTGGCCCAAAATCTACGTTGTAGTGTTGTCGCGAGGGTCAAATAGGGACCAAGTAGCTGGATACTCTGCACGAAGTAGCTCTGTCATTTGTCATCGCACCTATGCTGTCTGAGTGCAAGGCTCTCATTTTTTTCCAACCTGTTTTGATACTCATTGGTGTCCATCAGTACTGTTCCCATGCGTATCAGTATGTTTTTGCCACATAACAAAAACCTCAGGATTACAGTGGCTTGCTTGACAGCAGATATTTATTTTTGTGCTCATGGGTCTGCGGGTCAGCTGTGGTTTGGCCAATCTAAGTTGGTCTGTGCTGGCTCAGGCTGGACTTCTGATTGGGTTTGGATCCACCTCACGTGCCATCCATCAGTCTGGGGTTCATTTCAGACTGAAAGGTAGCAACCGATGAGGGCTGGGGAGACACACTTCCCTCATGGCCCATTACAGGAGTGCAAGAGGGAGGGACTTGGGAGATGTACTTTGTCACTTCCATCCACATCTTATTGGCTAAACAAGTCAATGGTCCAGCCCAGAATGGAGTGAGACCAGGAGATGACCACCCCCCGCCATAGTGGGAAATGCTGCACATGACAAAGGTCAGGGATGTGTCATTCCAATTCAGGCTGAGCGTGAAGAATTAGGAGTCGTGATCCAGCTTATACACAGACTGTCTGAGCTTGAGTGAAAGAAGGCCAGGTGAGGAGTGAGCTGAGAGAAGCATCGATTATTTATGCAAGAAAAGGGCCTTGTTTTTCACAGACGTGTACTGAGTAACGGAACCAAGGAGCAGCTGCTACAGGAAGACCACGCTCTGTGGTTCCGAGGAAGAGCATCTCTTTCTTCTTCTGGCGGTGCCACACCGTCTTGATTCCTGTCTCTTTGTAGTAGACTTGGAAGTTGGGAAATGTGAGTTCTCCAGCACTGTCCTTTTTCCAAGATGGTTTTGGCTTTCCTGAGCCCATCACATTTCCGTACGAACTTTAGGATAGGAATGTCAATTTGTCTATGTCCCATCTAATCTAAATGCGTGATTCAGACTTCAGAAAGATTCAGTCAGTCACTATTGGCATCTGAGTTTGAAAGAAATGGTTCAATCGCATATGTGACAAATATTTATTACTATTGTGGTGGGCACTGCATGGTTGGTGCTGGTGAACACCAACAAGCAAATCCAAACACAGTCTTAGTACCCACAAAGCTTACAATGAACTCAAATCAATTATGTTAATCAACATTTACGTTAATGAATGTGTAATTAAAAACTCAGATAAATACCGTGGTCTAATCTGGAGATTCAGGAAGAATTTCCCTAAGGAAGTAAGGTTTGAGGAAGTACGGCGTTAACTAGGCAAAGATGGTGAGCGAGGAAGCCGTCCAAGGCAGAGGGAACAGCATGGGCAAAGGTCCTGGGGCAGAAGGACCATGCCAAGTTCCAGAGTTTCAAAGAAGCTCACATGGCTGAGCCTGGGTGGACAAGAAGAGGTAAGAGAGGTGGGCAAGAGCCAGACCATGTTAAATGATTTGGGTTTTTATCCTAAAGCACTAAGAAGCCACCAAAAAACATTAAGCTGGGGATGGAGAAGTAGAGGATGAAACAAACAAGTTTGTGTTTTAAACATCTCATTCTGTATATTAGCCAGTTGTAAGATGTGGACCTAATTTGGATCTAGATTTTTAAAAGCAATATATATATATATATTTATGAAACTATTAGAAATTTGAACATTGGGCATATGGTAAATCGAGGAATTCTGTTTTTTGGTGTTATATTTTTAAAAGACCTTATCTTAGAGATACATGCTATACTATTTATGACTAAGATCATAAGATGCCTGGAATTTGCTTTGAAATGTTAACATCGGGAGGGGAAGAATTAAGATGTGGATGAGGTAGCATTGATTATGAATTGATGGTGATTGGGGCGGGGGGTAAAGACATAGGGTTCATGATCCTTTTCTCTATTTTTATGTCTATAAAAATATTTCTTCATAATAAAACATTTAAAAAAAAGGGAAACAAATTATTCTAGCTTAAAGGTGGGGGACTAGATTTCAGAGGAAGAAAAGGTGACAAGGGGAGACCAGTTTAGAAAGCAGTTGCGGTGGCCCGGGTGACAGTGATGGAAGCTTGGTCCGGGACTGTGTCAGGGGGGATGGAGAGAGATAGGTTGAGAGATCCTCAGGACGTCGGGTGACATGAAGGAGATGGCGGACCAAGAGTGCCCCTCCGGTCCTGACCCCAGATAGCATTGCCACTCTGGGCTAGGGGTCACTGGGGAAGGACCAGGCATGTCCCTTGGCTCATCTTGTTTTCACAGTCCCACCTCTATTTCTCCTCCATTCCACAAATATTGAAGCTGTTCCCTTATGTAATACCTTTTATTTCAGACTTTCTGCACTCCGTGCACTCAGCAATTAATTAAGCTTTGATATGCATGAATTAATTACAATCCGCTCTCAAGTTCGGGAGGGCTGGCCTGGAAAATGTATCTTCATCTGTATCTGCCTCTTTTCTGGGGCAGGTTCTCTTTCCCGTGGGCGCACAGCTGTAGGTGTCCGTCCGTCTGTCTGTCTGTCTGTCTGTCTGTCTGTTGCACCTGTCAGCACGCTTTAATTTCGTGTTTAGGAGCCAAGGTCTAGGGAAGTTAATGACTTGTAAATTGCTCTCCAACAGAGAGCTAGAAATAGAATGCCAGAGGATTCCCGAGCCTCGCACAGATTCAGCGGCGAGATAGCAGCCCCGAAGCGGATGGCTGAAGCCGTGGCTTGCGGCCATAACCCTTCACATGCCCAGACAGCCACCCTGCGGAGTAAGAACATTCCTGGCGAGGGAGCTGGCCTCCAAGTGAAGTCACGTGTTGGTCTGGGACAGTGTCTTCTGCTCAGTGCCACTGAATGACTCTTGTCACCTTTCTGCCCCCCATCCAGGTAATTTTCTGATGTGACGGCTGAGACATGAGATCTTCAGCCTCCAGGCTCTCCAGTTTTTCGTCGAGAGATTCACTATGGAATCGGTGAGTGTCTGTAGCCCGTCTTGTCCAGATAGCCCAGGTCGAGAAATGTGGAGGGATCCTCGTCGGGGGAGGGGGGGTTAAAATGCACAATTTGACTCAACACAAGCGCTCGAATCTGACTGTGGGTGTGAGTGAGCACCAGTGGAGAACAGATCACTGGCATTTGTAGAGCTGTGGGCTTTTCAAAGTGTTTCCTATCACATGACCTGTTTCCTTTACACCGAAGGAGGGGTGGCGGGTGATGGTACCAGAATATAGTCAGAAATAGCAACAACAAGGACATCGCCAACAGTAATAGGTGCTATTTTCACCGAGTGGTTCTTTAGAAGTATTATTTCCTTCAATCCATCCAACCATCCCACCTGGTAAGAATTACTACATTCATTTTACAGATAAAGAACTTGCCCAGCTGGATTCAAAGCGAATATTTCCTGATTCCAGGTCTCCTGGCTATTTCTTTTATGCCATATTGCCTCTTGGTAGAAGCCCGATTTGCCCCGCTTTGCAGCTGGAAATACTGAGGCCTGGTACAGGGGCCTATGAAGGAGTCTAAGCGGTCCGACCTCAGTGGGGGAGGGTTTGTGTTGGTCAGAGGATGGTGCAAAATTAGACTGGACAGGAAGAGCCATGAAAACTAGGCAGAGGAAACGCATAGCGTTTGAGAATTTTAAGGTCGCTGGGGTGACTGACACAGAGTCGACCTGCTGTGGCTGGCATTTCCCAGAAGCTGCCTGGCGGAAGGAGTTGGGGTGCTGGAAGGGGTTGGTTGAATCCGGGCTCTACCACCAACTTTCTGTCCGACCTCAGGCAGGTCACTAACCTTCTGTATATCTTTCCTTTCCTTATCCGTGAAAGGGGGCTGATGTTTGTTTCAGGTTTTTTTGTGCAGATCAGAAATGAAGGTGTACGATAGGGTGTCTTCCGTAGAGTAGGCCATAGAGCATGGTAATTATTCTGAATTTTAGGATAAAAGTAATTTTTAAGGATGATTAGACAAGCAAAAGTATCCAGAATAGGTGGGGAGGTGAGGGGTTGGGGGCAGGGAGGCTGGCCTGAGAGGCTTTCATGTGACCTAGACATGAGGTGATAGGGGTCTGTTACCACCTTCCAAGACAAACGAGTTTGCCCGCTTATTTTCATAGTTTGATGATTACAGGGTTACCCGAAGTCATAGTTTGTTTTGTTCTTTCAATCAAGAGTCCAACACAAAGGTGCCATTAGTTTTGCAGGTGTCTTTTTTCAGTGATATGCATTTGAATTGCAATAACTCAGTGCATTATTTAGGGTGAGGTTGTGTGATGAATGAAGTAAAATCTAAAAGAACATTGGCTTAAAGAAGATAGACCTGTGTGCCTTTCTTACCTAAAAGATAAGACGTAAATATCATATAGATTGACAGCCGCTGGGTGAGGCTCAGTGCGGGAGGCCCTGGGGCCACAGGAGTGGCATGTAAAGCCGGTCACACAGATAGCAAGGACGTCCATCCCTTTCAATAGGGAGGAGTTGCAACATCAGTAGGTAAACTGACAGATCACATACGGGCTACATCAAAAAATATCAAGCAGTTCGCTCCGTTCGCCGCTCACCAGCACTGAGAAGGGGTCAGGTCGGCTTTGCTTTTCCTTGTCTGTCACTGCGACAGATACTGACCTCCAGCTGGTACCCATGGAGCAGACAGGTGTCGGAGCCTAGAGTTCAGTAGACAAGAAGGGACACCCACAGGAGCAGAGACTGGCTACGGTTATCAAGATACTAGTCCAGGGACCTCTTACTTTGCTGGATTATTAAAATAAATGTATGAATGAATGAATGAATGAATGAATGCATGAAATCACTCCCCACAATGATGCGGTTTTCACTTCTGGGAACGCTGAAGTCCAGGGGAATAAAGATGTTTCCTTTTTTTCACTCGAAATGCCACCAGCACGGCAGAGGGACAGCAAATGGAAGCTGCATTGGATTCTGAGCCCGCAGTAGGAATCAGTTGGCCTTATTTTCAAGGTTCTTCTCTGTACGTAGAAACTAACTGACCTAAACCTCGGCCCCTCCTAGACCAAGGCCAGGAGAAACCTCTGTGACTGCTCCCCCTGCCTTTGCCTTTCCAAAGGTCATGGCAGATGCCCTGTCATTATCATGTTGCCAGCTGTCAGCCCAAATTGAATTTCCCTGAGCACAGCTGATGTCCCTTTTTGGCCGCAGGACAGGGGTCAGGAATGAATGCTGCACACGGACAGGAAATGTGTCCCTTGAGCCGAACACAGAAGCGCTGACCTCTCAACTCTGAGCCGCATTTCTGACATTGTTGGAAGGGTTGGAAAACCTTCTGGATGTTAAAGGAAAAGAAGTGTGTTTTAGAAAAACGCTGATATCTAAGCCCTTTCGATATGATTGGGGCTTTTTAAACTTCAACTGGTTATTCCAGAGTATCGGCCATTCCTCAATTAGATACATAAAAGAAGAAAGTTTCTCCCTAGACTGAGAATTGGGAAACTGTGATCCTGGTCTTATTTCCTTCTCTCCCTCCCTCTCTCCCTTCATTTTCCCTGCCTCCCTCCCTCCCTTCCTTCCTTCCTTCCTTCTTTCCTTCCCTCCTCCTTTCCTTCCCTCCTTCCTTCCTTCCAAATTCATCAAACGATACTGCATGCCATGCCCTACACCGAATCCTGGGGAAGTAGATGACTAAAACTCATCACAAAGTCTTCCTGAGCTTATCATCCATTCATTTAAAAAATTAATTCTACAAGTATTTCTCAAGCACCTAATTTGCTCCAGTCTCTTAGTAGAGATAAAAGACATGGTTTCTCCTCCTACTGAGTTGACACTTTATTTTTTCACTTGCTCACTCACCTGACACTGTCTGGACACTGACTCTGTACAAGGGACCGTGTCGGCTTCTGGGATACCAAGATGTACAAAACATAGCTTCTGTCCTGATGGAGCTAAAAGATTAGACAATATCGTATTTGTCCCCAAGGGCTGCAGTGACAAAGTACCCCAAGCTCGGTGGCTTAATAGAAATTTATCGTCTCATAATTCCAGAGGCCAGCAGTCAGGTATCGTTGTTGTTTCTATCGTAAAGACAAGCTCGTGGAGGTTTGGAAAGTTGTCTAAGGCCACAGTGCTGCCAAATAGCCAGAGCAGAATTTCCACTTTTACCGCCTATGTTCTTTCATCTTCCCTGGGCTGTAAGGACAGCCTGTCAAGATAAGCCCTCCTCCACGCCACCCCCAAATCTCAAAACTTCAGACTTATTCTACAATCAGCTCGGCTTCCGGAAGGCATTTGACCCAACCGACCGCTCCCTCTGTCTCAAAACCCTGTTTTTCTTGTGACTCTGCCCACCTTTCTCCGTCTCAGTAGGTCACCCCCATCCCAACCAACCTCCAATGCTTTTGAAGACCATCTGTGTGCCGACTACATCCAAATTATATCTCCAGCCTATCCTCTGAGATCCAGACTTGATTATCCCAAATGCCTAATTACTATCTCTATTCAGAAGTCTAGCTGGCACCTCAAACTTAATGCATCCAACATGGATTTTTCTCCCCACTTCTCCCTAATGAGATGCTGTGCCTCTGCTTAAAACCCACCAGTGGCTCCAGCGCCCCCTGCCCATGTTACTCGGAATCAAGTCCAAATTCCTCACTATGGCCAGCATGGTCCAGCCGCTGCATCCTCGCCGGCCGACCCCATTTCCTCTTCCCGTTCTCACGCTCAGCACATGCTGGCCTGTCTCTGGGCTCTGCCTCCTGTCTTTCTCTGCCTGCGGGGTTCTTGCACCTCCTGTCCCTTAACCCTCTGCTCTTCACAAGAGTGACAACTCTTGTCCTGGAGTCTCAGCTTAAATGCACTTTTCTCAGATAGACTTTTCCTCACCACCTCATTCTTTCTGGATGTCTTCCTCCTAGCATTTGTAATAATGTGGAATTATTTGTGTGTTGACTTGTGCCTGTGTGCCACCCCCACCGGACCACAAGCCCCCAGGGGGCGGTGGTGATGGCTGCTTGCCTACAGATGTTAGCCCAGTGCCTGGCCTAGAGCCGGGCACGTAGTAGATGTTCGGTAAATACATATTAGAGTTGAAATCGAATCAGTGGCCCCTGCTGAGTTGACAGCGAGCATCCGCTTACTTGTAGAATCCTTCCACAGGCAAGGCGGGCCCTCATATGTGTATACGGGTGATGGAAAATTGAATGGAAACAAGTCAGCAAAACAAAAGAAAAACGCATAGATACAGACAACAGATTGGTGGTTACCGGAGGGGAAGGGGAGCCAGGAGAGGCCTAATGGGTAAAGCCAGGGTAAATGTGTGACGATGGATGGAACAAGGCTTTCAGTGCTGAGCACACTACAGTGCATGCGAGTATCAAATTAGAATGTCGTACACCTGAAACTTATGTACGATTATTAACCAATGTTATCTCAATCAAAAAAGAGGAAGAAGAAAAAATCGGATGAGACCTGGGCTTTTCCATAGACCTTGGTCTCTGTTTTCTCGTTTCCCTTTGCTGGGTCGTCCAAAATGTTAGGACTGACAAAGATCATCAATCGCAGGGGAAGCAGCAGCCTCGGGTACCCGATCCGCGTTAAAGCTGATTTGATTTGGGTTTCAAATGGAAACGGTGAGCTAATGCATTTTACAGAGTCGAGGAGAGAGCAGTTTTCTCTGTTAAAACACCAAGAGGAATGAGACGTGCGGGTTTCCACAGGGCCCCAAGCTCCTGAAAGGGCTTCTCTGCAGATGTTTGGAGTTTGGTGCTCAAAAGCAACTACACAGGTTTTCCTGAGAATTGATAACCACGACCGAAATGGCGTCGCTTGCAACGTGAGGAAGGCCTTGCCAAGCTCGAGTGTAGGCTGCGGGTTTGGGGCTGGGCGGCGGGACTGAAAACAGGTTTACGGAGTCCCTGCAGACGGGTCGTTAGCTAGACTGGCTGCAGCGAGCCCCGCCCGGCTCTTCAGCTCTTCGCTGCCTCTGCTTCTTCATCAGCCGCAAGATA